GAATTCTGGGAGTTGAAGTCCACAAGTCTTAAAGTGGCCAAGTTTGGGGACCCCTGTTCTAAGATGTGTGGACTTCACCTCATGCCGGCTGGGAAATTCTGGGAGTTGAAGTCCATGCATCTCCAAATTGCACTTGCCTAGAAGAGTGCAATAAACCTGCTAGCGAGGCCTCCAACTCCTTTCAGTACCCCTTCTGCAAGCTAGCAGTAAACAAAGAACCTGCAGCGATGAAATGGTGGTTTGCTCACATGGGTCACCCTGAACCCCCGCCCCTTCAGTCACAGATACAATGGATAAGGAGACAGTGAGTGAGCTGCCCCCCCTAGAAGCCACAGCTGGCGTGGAATGGAGGCATGGGAGAGGCCCGAACGTGTCCCGTGTTGGGGTGGAATGGGGTCGATGGGGCGGGCGGGTGAGCCAAACCCACAACAATACACACAATCCATACCCAGGAGAGTTACGTGAGTCGTGCCTGCAAAGCAAGAGAAAACAGAGCAGGTTTATAGAGTTGGTTGAAGGCCGTGGACTCCGTTGCCCTAGTTTTAGTTAAGTTTGGTCTAGGAGGGATCTCCAAAGATGGCCACTTTTACGACTTGTGGACTTCAACTTCCAGAATTCTGGCTGGGGAATTCTGGGAGTTGAAGTCCACAAGTCTTAAAGTAGCCGTGTTTGGAGAGAGCCCTGGTCTAGGTCCAGGCTCTGCTGGGGTCAAAACTGGGATGGAGAGGAAGGGGAGGTAACCCTCTTCTCGTCATCTTTCAAGACGGTTAATTAAGGGATTGGTGTTAATTGTCCCAAAGCTGCTTTTTCCAAGAGGCAACTGGACTTTCTGGTTTTTCTTTTGAAGACGTTTCGCTTCTCATCCCAGAAGCTTCTTCAGCTCTGGAGAAACTTTGATGCCTTTGGGGCAACCATGACCTGAATGAATGAGAACCTCTACAAACTTTTAGCTGCACAATTTGGGATGAACACCCATTGAATGGTGTGGGAATAAGGAATGGATTTCCAGAGGAAAAAGAATTGCAGAGTACAGGAACCAGGTTCTTCCTTCTTAGTGGCTGCATGTAGGAGAAAAAACTGGTAGAGCTGGAGGCGGGGTTAAACGAGTCATCTGCCTAGAATCATTACATGGTCACAAACAGTTCAAGTCCAACTCCTCTTGAATTCCATTGACCCTTATCTGGCCTCAGTTTAGTGTTGAAATTTAGTTGACTAGATTTAGTTGGCCCCCTTTGAATTGTGTGGGGATAAGGAATGGATTTCCAGAGGAGAAAAATTGCAGACTACAGGAACAATTTGCACCATTTGGGTGACCCTGAGGACACAGATAAACCTCCTGTCAGGGTTCTGGCGATTGCCCTAATTACATCATAAGCCTTAAGCCAAGCTTCAAATAAATTCAAAAGATTTATTAGGAGCAACATGCCAGCATTAACCTAAATGAAGCCAACTCTGGCATACATAATTTACAGTCACCTGTGACTCTGTTTCCCCCTCTCTCCCCTGGGTTTATCATAAATCAGATTCTCCAATGAAGCATATTCACGGGCCAGGTGTCATCAATCACGTTCTCCAATGAAGAATTTTCATGGGCAGAAGATCTGGTAGCCTAGCTACAATCTTTTTAAGATAAGAGTGGAATGTATTTCCATTTTCACTGGCAGAGGGCTGCAGGAGGCCATCGTGGCGCAAAACGGAGCCTGGGACGGTGGTGCGTGGCCCTCCCAAGCTGGAAGAGGGCTGCAGGAGGCTATTGTGGCTGAAAACAGAGTGGGATGGTGGCACGTGGCCCTCCCAAACTCCATTTTCACTGGTAGAGGGCTGCAGGAGGCTATTGAGGCTGAAAATGGAGCCTGGGATGGTGGCGCATGGCCCTCCCGAGCTCCATTTTCGCTGGCAGAGGCACCGAGGGCCGGTCCTTCACTGCTTCCAGGGCAGCCCTGTGAGCCAGATCCGGCCCGCGGGCCTTGAGTTTGACACCCCTGAGTTATAGTTATCCTCTTTCTCTCCAACGAGGAAGAAGGGTAGAAACAACTTGCAAATAGGATGTCATTGTCAACCCCATTTAGGAATCCCCTCTCCCCCCCCCCAAAAAAAGTGGGGGGCCACTTTCAGGGATGCTCCTACCAACCCAGTGCTTGGAACGCATGTCAATGCAAAGCCCCACACCCCTCACCTTCATCCTCAGATACATCCAGAATCTCATCCACTGTCTCTGGGAAGCTCATCCGATGCTTGTCGCTTAAAGACTGCAAGAAGGAACAGGTCAGATGGGAGGGGAGCCTCAAAGCTCTAAGCCCAGAGTCAGCATTCCAACTAACCAACTCCAAGCCAGTAAACCCCGAGACAAACATTTCCTCAAAGTTCCAATTTATTAGAGTGGTCATATTGGCACATCTGGGAAAACCTGAATCTGAGAGTTCTGGGTTTCCCCTTCCCAAAAGAGAAATCCAAGATCCATCCCCTACACCCACCAGTCCATCACAAGGCCCAATCAAATCTTCATCCCAACTGGAGACATTCCCCCCAGTCACTCCCCTCCAGGTGCAGGGCAACATGTCCTTGACTCTCTGAGAAAGAGTGTTGTTGAGTCTAATCTTCCACCTCTCTATGAAATCCCCCCTCCCAAATTCCCAGGCACTGAATGTGGCAGCCTTGAAGCTTCCAAGTAAAAAATGGCTTCCAAGGCTGACATTCTCTCTCTCTCTCTCTCTCTCTCTCTCTCTCTCTCTCACACACACACACACACACACACACACACACCAGGCTTGAAGATGGACCTTACCAGGAAGCTGGTTTCATCAGTGACAACTTTCAGCACATCGGTGACGGAAATGTAGCCCAGCCGCTTGGCGATGGCCAAAGGAGTGGCACCATTCTGCACAGAGAGAGAGAGAAAGTGAACTCTGTGAATAAAAAGGGTGGAAGTTCAACCAAGATGATGAGGTGCAAACAGAAACGTATCCTATTTCTGTAGCAAGGAAGATAAAGCAGGAATGATTAAAATGGAGCATTTTCTTCAAAAAAGGAGAATGTATTTAAGTATGTTTTTCACTTGGATACTACTTCTGAATTTTGCACTTGGGATGAAAAGAAAAAAATATGAAACTTTGATTTTGGTTTTGCCAATCAGATAGATTTGCCGTTATAGAAATGGCAAGTTATATATAATGTGTAAAAGCAAAAAGTTTTGTACCAGGCAAAAAAGAGTTGGAAGTTTTTTTTTCTTTTTTGCCTTGTACTTCCCATTTTCTTTCTTCCCTCTTTCTCCTTCCCCTAATTTCCTATTCCTATGTTTCTTTGTATTTTATATATTGAATGGATGAACGAATGAATGAATGAATGAACAAATCAAGGAAGGAAGGGGAGAAAGAAAAAAAGAAAGAAAGAAAGAAAGAAAGAAAGAAAGAAAGAAAGAAAGAAAGAGAGAGGAAGGAAGGAAGGAAGGAAAGGAGAGAGAAGGAAGGGAGAAAGAGAGAGGG